GGGACACTGTGTCACAGCATCCAGTACAGATCTGGAGACAAACGCTACATGTTAGTTGGACCCAGGATGAGTATAGGATCTACTATAGTACCTGGCAGCCACGCAAATACTCTAGTGCTCCCTGACAGGAGGAGGACATCTGAGGAGGTAAGACATCTTCAGCATCTTAAGGATTATTTATCATATTAATAGGATTACAGATTTTGGCTGGGTCATGCTTATTTTTGAAAAACAAAATTAGGTCCCTGTTTATAAAACAACTTAAAAAAAAACAACAAAAATTGAATTAAGAGCTGAATTTTTGTCATGTGATGTTGGTCAAAGTCTTAGCAATATTTCGAGTCTTTCTGCTCTTTTTGTAAATTGTAAAATGTTTTGGCTGTTTGCCCAGCGTTGTTGCCAACAAAGCGTTTTGTTGCACTGTTGTCCATGACACTGAGGTCTGGTTGTGGTGATTGTGGTGAGGCTGTATTGATTTTCAAGTTGGTTTCAATTAAACTGAGCGCTATAAGTGAAAACCATTGTATTTTTAAAAGTTGAAACTCTCGAGAAGGCAGTATTTCAGTCAAACTGGTTCCAGAAACTTTTTTCGCTATCCCTGGTGCTGAAGGATTTCTTTTAGTACTGTCGCTTCAATAATCCCAGCTATCAGTGCAAATGCTCAGTGGTCAGTTACAGATGATGGACGACTGAATGAGTAAGCGACTACTAACTCTGAGTTTCACTCTCTTTTGGCTGCACAGTGATGCTTTCGGTTATCATATGGAGGACGATTTGATAACTCCAAGTTTAGCTTACTGACGAACAAATAGTAAGACGAAACTTTGCCCCGGAGAGGTTACTTTACAGTGGAATCTAGTTTTATGTTCTCTTTTCTCTGGTACAAGAAGTGAGCAATAAAGGATCCACTGGGTGTCAGTGTTACAGTGTGGAATTGCTAAAGCTTCGGTCAGGATAGACTCTGCCCCTTGCAAAGTGTTTTCTTCAGCTCGGTCACAAAGAAAATCGTTTCGGATTTGAACATCACATTTTCTACGCGAGCGTGGCTTTCTGAGATAGAATCTCGGGGAAACTGGAGGGATTATAAGTAGAAGACACTGGTGGACGCTGTTTTAAATGATTATGCAAAAGGAGATAAAGAACAAAGAGGCAGAATGATGTCTTGGTCGCATCCCCTGCTTTTCTCTCTGCTCTTTTGCTACGGAGAGCTGATTTTAGCTCAGATAAAATACTCGACCCCGGAGGAAGTGAAAGTCGGAACTGTAATAGGAAATGTTGCCAAGGATCTGGGCCTCGATGTGAATACGTTGAGTAACAGGCGTTTTCGTATTGTTTCTGGAGCCCAGGACGCGCTATTTGAGGTAAACGCGAACAATGGGGTGTTGTATGTTAATAAGAATGTCGACCGAGAACAGCTGTGCGATAGAAGTGGTGCCTGTTTAATAGATCTGAAAATCGTTGTTGAAAATCCACTTGAGGTCCACTATGTCACTGTGGAAATAGTGGATGCTAACGACCATATGCCAAATTTTGCAGAGAAGAAAAAAGTAATAGAAATAGCAGAAACGACATCGCCAGGAGCACGATTTCAGCTACCAGGCGCCCGTGATCCAGATGTTGGAATAAATTCCGTCCAGCGCTACAAACTCAGTCAGAACGATCATTTTCATCTTGAAATTAGAGATAGAGGGGAGGATAAAATCCCCTTTCTTGTGTTGCAGAGGCACTTGGACAGAGAGCAGAAAACAAATCATAGCTTGATTTTAACCGCTTTAGATGGGGGGACACCTGCAAGATCAGCAAACCTAAGTCTGATCATTAAGGTTCTTGATAACAATGACAACAGGCCTATTTTTTCACAGGAGGTTTATTCTGCTACACTTCAAGAAAACGCCGCATTAGATACGGTTATAATAAAAGTCCAAGCAACCGACCTGGACGAGGGAATTAATGGGGATGTGGAATATTCCTTCGGGGGTGATATTAATTCCAACGTGTTAAAACTGTTCAGTCTGGATAGGCATAATGGAGAAATTACAGTAAAGGGACAGATTGACTATGAGACGGCTGATGTGTACAAGCTGGACGTTCAAGCCTCCGACAAAGGTCAGCCGCCGATGACAACTGATTGTAGAGTCATAATCAAGATCCAAGATGTCAACGACAACAAACCAGAAATAGAAGTGACATCAATATCCAGCATGGTCCCAGAGGATTCAAAACACGGGACTGTGATTGCACTTATTAGTGTTGAAGACGGAGATTCGGGGTTGAATGGCAAAGTTGTGTGCCGTCTGACAGAAAATGTACCATTCGAACTAAAACCATCATTTAAAGAAAATATGTATTCATTAGTGACAAAAGAAACACTAGACAGAGAAGCTGTGTCACATTATGACGTTTCAATAACCGCGACCGACTGCGGGGAGCCTCCCCTGTCCACGTTCAAAACTTTGAGCATTCAGGTTTCAGACGTGAATGATAACCTCCCAGAGTTCCCGCGAGGTCCACTAGAATTATATTTGAGGGAAAACAATGCTCCTGGCGCATCTATATATTCAGTGAGCGCCTCCGATAAAGACTTAAACGACAATGCCGCAGTGACCTACAGTATAGTCAGAGGGGAAGGGGGCCATAATGACATGGCATCTTTTCTGAATATACATTCAGACAACGGACACATCACAGCACTGAAAAGTTTCGACTTTGAAACGCTGAAAACTTTCCAGTTCCAAGT